AGGTTTAAGTACCATTTTGGTCCCTTAACTTTACACTTTGGTACCAAAATTGTCCCTCACCTTTAAAAAGTACCAAAATTATCCTTAAACTTTTATTTTTGGTACCAAAATGGTCCTTCCGTCAGTTAAATGACAGATGGCACGTTAAAATACCAGCAAATCAATTTTTTTTTTTCTTAATCAATGACATGGAAAAAAAAAAGTATAGTTGGCCATTTTTTTTTGAGTTGGCATTTTTATTTAATTTAAAAGTAATAATTCTTTTTTTTTTTCATCCACGTCAGATTTTTTTCTTCCTCTTTCATTTTCTCTCTCCTTTATCTTTCCTTTTCTCTTACCTTTGCAAACCCAAGCTCTGGGTTTTCTCAAACCACCAAGAAAGTGATGATCGTCGCCGTCGATGACAGCGAGCACAGCGCCTACGCGTTGGAGTGGACGCTCAATACCTCTGCAAACCCAGGCTTTCGATTTTCCCAAACGGCGGAGAAGCGAGTGATGATCATCTCCGTCAATGATGGCGAGCACAGCCCAGGTGTGAGTGTGGAGTGGACGCTCGATCACTTCTTTGTTCCTCTAGGTGATAGTGCCTTGTTCAATCTCGTCATCATTCACACCAAACCTTTCGCTACTATTATTTTCAGCCTTCTTCTTCTTCTCTCAAACCCAGATCTGGGTTTTTCCCAAACCCAGATCTAGGTTTTTCCCTTACCCAGATTGGCCCGAGAAGATGATAGGCTCGAGAAGATGACCTGATGATAGGTCATCAAGTCCAGAGGTAGGCAGCAACAAGCGAAAGTACGAGGACCAGACCCCTCCGTCGTCCAGTGGAAGGAGGCCCACCGGCTTCTCATCTCTAGATTTGGTGCCTCGCTCTTACAATAGCGTTCCACCGCCTCTCGATGGCATTAAGATGGCTAAGCAGCGTGCTCAAGAGGTCACGGCTCGCCTCACTGCTGCATCTACTCTTGCTGACGCCAAGCGTCCTCGCGTCGAGAACGGTTCTAGCGATTTTGATAACGAAAAGGCTTTAGTCCTGCTCCATCTGGCATTGTCTTCCAGCTCTTGCTCATTCTCTACTTATAATTTCTTCTACTCTTCCCATTTATCATATGTGTTTTTATTGATAGTGTCAGTTGATTGATTGAATCTTACTAGTTTTTTGCATTTGAAGCTTTAGTTAGTGTCTATCACAAACGTGCATTATTTTTTTTCCTGGATTAAGGAATTTTGTTTATTAGCTACTAATTATAAATTCTGCTGGTTTCATTCGATTGTTTTTTATTGTATGAGTGAAGTGCTTTACTCTTGCTAGGTTGCTGTCTGAGATAGAGAAGAGGGGTGGAATGATAGGTCCGCAGCAGATGATAGGTCCGCAGATGTGCCTTGTTTAATATAATGGAATGATTTGTATTGCTTTTTTTTTTTTTTATCATCAGCTTCATTAGATCATTAATTTATGTGATGAAACCCAGATCTGGGTTTGAGAGAAACCCAGATCTGGGTTTGAGAGAAAAACCCAGATCTGGGTTTGAGAGAAAAACCCAGATCTGGGTTTGAGAGAAAAACTCAGATCTGGGTTTGAGAGAAAAACCCAAATTTGAGTTTGAGAAAGGAAGAAGAAGAAAGAAGAAAGAGAGAGAATAAGAAGAAGAATGAGCGAAAGTAATGCATTATTTTTTTTTTCCTGGGTTTAAGAAAAACCCAGATCTGGGTTTGAGAGAAAAACTCAGATCTGGGTTTGAGAGAAAAACCCAAATTTGAGTTTGAGAAAGGAAGAAGAAGGGAGAAGAAAGAGAGAGAATAAGAAGAAGAATGAGCGAAAGTAATGCATTATTTGTTTTTTTCCTGGGTTTGAGAAAAACACAAATCTGGATTTAAGAAAGAAGAAGGAGAAAGGAAGAAGAGGAAGAAAGAAATCTGACGTGGGTGAAAAAAAGAAAGAATTATTACTTTTAAATTAAATAAAAATGCCAACTCAGAAAAAAATGGCCAACTATACCTTTTTTTTCCATGTCATTGATTAAGAAAAAGAAAAGAATTGATTTGCTGGCATTTTAACGTGACATCTGTCATTTAACTGACGGAAGGACCATTTTGGTACAAAAATGAAAGTTTAAGGATAATTTTGGTACTTTTTAAAGATGAGGGACAATTTTGGTGCCAAAGTGAAAAGTTGAGGGACCAAAATGGTACTTAAACCAATTTCGTATCTTTGCAATTTACTTATAAAGATTGTGACTGTTTCCAATTAAGTCCTCTCTAGCACAGAATGAAAATTATGCAAAATTAAGTAAATTTTCATAAAATTCATCCAAATGTCAATAATATCAAGGCATAAATTTTAAATTAATATGTATATAAATTTAGTTTATCAGCCAAGTATTGTTTTGAAAATTCAAAAAGATGAATTTGTAATCTTTTTCTTTTATTTATTTTATATATACTTTATTGATTATAAAACTGGATGCCTTTGATTTCTCCTTTTTTCAAGTCCTTGTGATACAGGTTGTCAAGAAAGCAATTGAGCTCTGCAGCAAATTAGAGCTTTGGCCCAAGCTTGGTCCAATCTTATATTGAAATTTATTATTAATTGCTTTCCGCATTCTTTGCATTCATTCCATATTTTTCCATTCATTCTGCACTTGTTTTTGCATTCATGATATCATTTTGCCATCTCATTTTTTATATATCATAATCATGCTACTTTGCTCATTTGCACTTATGATTATAAATATCCATTGCTATTTTAGAGATGGAAAAGTGCAGGGACTCCATGTGGGGTGGGTTCTAGAGAAATCCCTTTATGCTGAGCTCCTCCATCAAAATTATATACGAGCTATGAACAACTCCTCCATCCAATTTTAAAAGGCTACGGGCCCCAACCATAAAGCTCAATAGCTTACAAAGATCATCAAGTAAATTTCTTCTCTAGCATCATTTATGAGAGGCTAGATTTTTTCTCTCCACATTTGCTCTTGAGTCACAGCAAGGAGTTAACATCATTCGTAAGAAGTTAAATTTTTTCTCGAGTTTCTATCTCATCAAGCACAATTCTTTCTCAAGTATAAATTAATTCTGCTCTGCAAGTCAAGCAAGTGTTACATATTAAAATTTTCAAAATTACTTTGCACAGTTAAGATTTTTATGAGTTATTTTGCATGTCCAATTTTTGTTCTTATATTTACAAGCTAGAAAGACTTATTATTGCAACATGCATGACTGCTTGTTTATTGGACATGTTAAAGCATAAAAATGCAAATAATGTAATTTATGATTACAACGTTTATGTTTACCAGCCCCAAATGTGCAGGTTAAGGGGGGAGAAGAGTCATCATTATGACTTCTAATAGGAACCTATGATTAAAAGGTGCAGCTTCATAATTTACTTTAGCTACAATTATTAACTATGATACTAAGCTTAAGATATATATATGTGTATATATTTGTACCTTTATCATATAATATGGTCAGCCTTGGACTTTAACAACAGGAACTTCATGTGCTGACTTAGGAACTTAAACATGTTCATAAACTTGGTTGACTTCATCCTCATGATAGTCCATTCTGAGGTGAACTCCCTTGGATGATGTAAACCTCAGATAAACTCAACTACTTGAGCTAATCCTCATGCTAGCCCATCCTAAGGTGAACTACCCTGGATGAGGCAAACGACCTCGGATTAACTCGGACTACCCCCTACCCACATAACCTCCACATCATTCACAAGTGAATGACTCCTAGAGGGGGAATAGTGTGATGGTAGTCTGATGTGAACCACCTTAGATGAGGTAAACAACCTTAGATGAACTCGACTGCTTGAGATCATCCTCATGACAACCCATTCCGGGGTCAACTACCTTGGATAAGGTAAACCTCGGATGAACTCAACTACTTGAGCTCATCCTCATGACAACCCATTTCGAGGTGAGCTCCCTTGGATGGTGTAAGCAACCTCAGATGAGCTCAACTACTTGAGCTCATCCTCATGACAACCCATTTGGATGAAGTACACAACCAAAGATGAACTCAACTGCTTGAGCTTATCCTCATGCTAGCCCGTCCGAGGTGAACCACCTTAGATGACGTAAACAACTTTAGATGAACTTAACTGCTTGAGCTCATCCTTATGACAGTCGAGCTCAGGTCTAGCTTGTAACCAGCTTGCCATTTCACTAGCCATCCTGTTCCACCTCTCATGGGCCATTCATCAATAAGATATGCTAAGCCCTTATTTATTAAATATACTGAATATAGTATATTCTTCATGTTTCAACTAAAAGTGAGTGGCTTAAATGACATTTATTTATATTAATACATTTTTGGAGCCTCATGCAAATGGTGGAATAATCCACAAGCTAGTGATATCCACGAGCTGGTGGTCTTTATTATTGGTTCTAACTTAAAGAGATAAATCTCTTTTTGAGAGGGGGAGTAGGAATACATAAGCAACAAAAATAAACTTTCACATTTTACTTGGCATGTGCTTAACTTGCTGCTTGAATATATTTTGAAACTCATAGTTTAGCATTGTTTATTTTGAT